TCTCTCTCTCTCTCTCTCTCTCTCTCTCTCTCTCTCTCTCTCTCTCTCTCTCTCACACACACACACACACAAACACACATACAGACACACACACACACACACACACACACACTCACGGCGACCTCATTCACCATCGGAGTGGCTTCCCTCGAATTCAGATGACCGTTCACTGCAGTTATCTGAATCGGGGTCTTCCTCCACAACCTCCGCGCGAGCCTTGCGCGGGTTCAGCGGTCTTCAGCTTGCGGGGCCTGCCACGAGCACGCTTAGGCTTTGCAGCAGCATCCTCCACCGGTTCCTTCCTCTTCCTCCCCACCCTGCCCACCCACAGGTTGTCATGTTGGACAGCCTCATTGCTTGGAGGGAAGTCGGGTGAGTTCTCAACAGACTGTGCGGACACAACCGGTCGTTGCCTACGTGTGTACACAGTCTTCACTGCAGGCCGGTGCTCCTCTTCACTGTCCTCATCATCCACATTGTGCTGCATGTCCTGTTGTTCCATGCCCTCCGCATCTTCTTGCAGTTCCATGGCCTCCGCATCTTCTTGCTGCTCCATCTCCTCGTCCTCTTCTCCGTGCTCCTTCTCCGCCTCTTGTAGGTGGTCCATGTCGTCATTGTCCTCTTGCTGGTCCTTCTCCTCCGCCTCTTTGCGGTGCTCCGCCTCTTGCTGGTCCACCTCTTTGCGGTGCTCCGCCTCTTGCTGGTCCGCCACCTTCAAAACCGGTCCACTTTGCTGTTGCTCTTCCTCATCTCCCTCTTGCACAGTGCCCAATGCCCGACGTGTCTCCGGTTCCTTTCCCCCAACCTTCTTCTTGTGTCTCTCAATCTCCCTCCGGGTCGGGATTGATGCGCGTTGGGCGTCCTCTTCCATGATCCGTTTTTGGACGGCGTCTCTATCGCGATCTGCTAATGCCTTTGCACGGTCGGCCTCCGCCTGGTCTTCATCAACCGGACCACTTTGCAGCAGCAACTCGATGTCCGTGTCCATGTGATGGAACTCTACGTCAGACTGAGGATGGTATTGGGAGGAGATTTCCCCCCGGGCCTGTGTGGAAACCGTGGGCTGCTTCTCCCTCCGACGCCCTGCAGGCTCTCTCCTACCAACATAAGTAGTGCCCGGGACCGATGGCTGGGCTCCCAGCTCAAAATCGGAATCACTTTCATCCTCCTCCTCCGCGCCGCTCGTCTCATCCGACAATCCACACTTCCCCTTCCACAACTCATCATCCAAGTCACTTTCGTCAGTGCACTCATCCTCTTCGTCCTCGAGCTTCTTTGGAATCCTTCCCTTCGGTGTCTTCACGAAGCTACTTTGTCGCACCAGCTCCTTATCCGTCTTCTCAGTTTCTTCCTCAGGGCCCCTCAAGACAGATCCATCATTCTCATCTGGCTCCGGAATAGCCTCGAAGAACGAACTCCACAAATCGACGTAGCCCTCACCGTTGGCACCGTTGTTGTTGGCAGCACGCAGCAGTTGCATGTTCCAATGGATGTACACCAGCTTCTCCAATGTTTCGGCCTTCAAGCTGTTCCTCCTTTTGGAATGCACGAAGTCCATGGACGACCAATTTTTCTCAGTCGGGGTTGCTGTACTCCACATGCCCATCACTTTGATGGCAATGGCCTGCAAGTCGGGGGCATCGCCGCCATAAGTCGCTCACCACTCTGACGGTGTGAGCTTCTCGCAAAACCTTCGCATCAGGCTCCCACATCTTCTTGTCCTTTCTCTTGGGCCCGTTCGGCGTGGGCTCCTTGTGAAACTCGTGCATGTCACCCAAAACGTCAAGGTGGTCTGGCCCTTTCCAAGGACCTCCAACCTGTCTCTGCAGGTAATGCATCGTGTTCTGCACAATTGCATTGTCCCGATCATAGAGCCACCGTGGATTTCTTCTACGCGGGTCCAGAAGAAACGCCAGTGCATGTACTGGCTGCCACATCATCTTCACCCGATCTCTCACTTTCTCCATGACGCTCGCCCGCTGCTCCTCAGTGAGAATGACGTGAGCCAGTTTCCTTTCAATCAGGTCGTCGTATTCGACAAGGTTTGTCGGCGATGTTCCATCCCGATCCATCCTCCTGAGAAGGCTGTACCGGTTCCATGACGTCGACCACCTTCTTCAACTCCGTCCACCAGCCGTCTCTCCTCATGGTGAAGTAAACCAGGTCCGCTTTCGACTTCACCTTCGCATTGGACCAACGGATCCCCGTCCACCGTGCTGCATTTTTCCGATCCACCATATCGGACAACACTGCCTTCCTGTTTAGAAGCCTCTCCAACATCATGTACACGGACCCGAACCGAACTTCCGTAGGACGAAGCAATGTCAGGGAATCGTCCATGGACATCATCAGGCTATTCGTGGAGTGGTGGTTCCGGATGAACTTCACAATCGTGTGGCCTCTCTTCACAGTGCTCTTCACCCAGTCTCGCTTGCTAATGTCTCGCAGCAAAAGGCTGCAACAATGCGCAGCGCAAGGAACCCATGGAATCCGTGCAATGTCCTTGTCAGTGCGGCGCTCCAGAATCTGAGCAGCCTTCTTGTTCACCTCCGCATTGTCAGTGCAGATCGCGTTGATGCGATGCACTCCTATCTCCCTCATGATCTGCTCCCACAACTTTGCCAATGCCTGCGCTGTTTTCTTCCTTGCCGTCATTGACATTGTGGCCACCAGAACTGCACCCTTCTCCCCCGCTGCCAAGAAGTTCATGACAGGGCGCTCTCGACGGTCGGATGACCCGTCCATGATGAATGTACAGCCTCATTCATCCCAACAGGCTGTCAGAGGATGCACTTGATTTTGAATTCGCAAGTAGATGAAGTCAAGCATCACCGTCCTCATATGCTTGTACGAGGGCGGCTTGACCTTCGGTCGAGCACTCACCACTTCCAAGTAAACTTCGTGGAGCTTCTGCGTCGTGTCAAAGTTCAGGAAGTTAAACGCAATGCCAACGCGGAACATCGCCTCCGCCCACGCAATATCCAGCTTCTTTTGTGCATCGTTGTCCATCCATCTCTTGATTGATGTTTGCTGCAGTGATGCCACCCTCATGTTCGACCCTGAACCTTCCGCAAGCCCCTCGTCTGCAGCGGCGACCGACTCTTTTCGAGAAGCTGTTTTCGGTGGTGCCATCCCCGCAGTGGTTGGTGGTTGCAGCTCCTCGTACCCACAAACGAGCGGCTCGGAGTCCGCGTCCTGAGTCTCCGTCGCAGTCGTCCCCCCTTCCGCAATGCCATGCAACTGCCTATAGTTCTTGAGGAGGTACTGCGTCTTTTTGTCGCTCCACAGCACCTTCGCACCAGCGAAAACGAGCTTGTGCACCATCTCACCTGACCCTGTATGACGTATTTCCACACGTCCCGGGTGCGCTGCAGTTGTTGTTGCCTCGTGTCATCCTGAGGAACGAACAGAGAGGGGTATGACGCCGACGTGGGATCCTTTGCAGTCACCCCAGATGTGGGAGCACTGGAACTGGCACTGGCCTTTCCTTTGTCCATCGATCCTCACGGAGGTCTCCTCCTTCCGGATCTGCCACTGCCACCGCCTGCAGCAGCGCCACTGCCGCCGCCGCCCGCCATTGAACAGCAACGTGTGGAAGCACTCGCCAACAAACACCGAACGCACCCCCCTTGGCCCCCCTTTCAACCTCTCAAAAAAAAAAAAAAAAGCTGGGATATGGTGGATGTCCGTCGGGCACGTGAAGAAGAAGAAGAAGAAGACGAAGAAGCTGGGACTAAGAAGGAGAAGAAAATGATGAAGATGATGATGATTGGCGGTGATGGCGGGCAGGGGATGAGAAAGAACGGCGAGAAGAAGAAGAAGAAGATGAGTATGTTAGG